GACACCATCAAAATGCCTCATTGCTGGATGACAGGAGGATCCCATAATCAGTCTGCCGTAGACTGAATTAAGGCACCAAATGAGCTCCGTTTACTAAAAACAGGGAGCAACTGTTGTCTACATCTGCATGCACGTCCATTTTTTTTTACTCCAAAATTAGTCGTACTGCTTTGAATTAAGCGTAGGTGGTAGACTAACGGAAATGGTTTGTCACCGGATGGCTCAATGGATTTTTGTCTTTCGCCTCGATTCACTTATGCCGATTTTCAGTCAAAGTCACGAGTTTCCAACGGTAAAACTTGGTTAATAAATGGCAAAAGCTACTTTTTAAGCATGACTCGATGTGTGAGTGTTTCTAGATTGGCAGAGAAAGGTGAATGTGAAGAGGTTGCCTTACCCAAAGCAAAATTTTCTTTCATATTTGAGGAAACTGAGTTGTGAATCTTTTCAGTCATCTCGGCGAACACTGCCTCCTTTTCCTCCATGCACAATGGTACCCTTGCTGCTTCCTAAACCAAGTCTCGCGTCTTTATGTTTTTATTGCCTAAATATTGTCGTCAATATATTCTTCTTTCTGTACTAGTTTCATGTCTACTCTATCATAACAAGCCTAGATTGTCTGCGACGTGTTCTCTGTCCGTTTGCGACACCAGGTTATAATAATTCATTGTGCAAACAGATTAGTTGGTCGTAAACTTTTTACTGAATACCGAGTGTTCTTGATCCGGTACTGCTCAAATTTCTTAGTTCTGAACAATGAATTTAGACTAATATAAGGACTTATGAAGAACGGCATCCAAACTCAACAAATCGTCGGATTTTGCACTCCATCCATTTTCCTCAAAGGCATTGCTATATTCAGTTTGTTTGAAAATCATTATCCATAGTAGTTTGGATTTTTCAACATTTGAAATTGTGTAGTTCTGGGAGTACTGCCTTCAGACGATGATGGTGGGAGAGGTAGCCGCCTTTATGGTCCCACCACGCCACCTGACTGTCTTTCCGGCGGTGAATAAGAAGCTGCGTGACTACATGCTTGATCGGACAGCGAACTCAACAAACCCACCCAAACACACCTGTGCGTTCATGAGCCTGCAAGCTCAGGGCGGCCTGGGCTATTCCGACCTGGACGACCTTCTTGCCAGACCTCGTATGCTCGAGTTCATCTTCGACCTTCATTCGTAAGCCCCTCATTCTTTAATTCTCTGTGTTTGAATGCATACCACTTTCGTGGTTTAAAAGATTGTGGTGGCTATTCTTCCTCGTAGACTACAACCTAAATGACCATGACGCCTGTTATGCTTCCCATCTCTTGCGAATTGCATTACTTATTAACGGCATATGTACCGCTCCATCCTTGCATGACGTTTGAATCTTCTTATCTGAGGCTGCTGTCGCAAACATCCGAAGTTATTTTAGTTTTTGATGAGTGCTTGTAGCAAATCATGTCGTAAACATAACAATTTACTACAAACCTTCAAGATGGATTTAAGGCACTTTGGTATAGGAGCACTTCCATTTCTTTGTATTTTAAAACCACATTTAGTCCGGTATGTTTGGAGGTTCATATATCGATGTTGCATTGGGATAGGCGAATATTTGAGTTGCAACGGTTGTCCCCCCTTCTGGACTCATAACCAAGTACTCTAACTTAAGAAATGTTCAACTTTAATAATTGGAATGCATAAAGCTTTTCAGTAAAGATACACTCATCCATGAAATGCGTGGTTGACAAACCAAGAGGACCACATACCCGATGACCACTTGCTCACGCAAGCAATATTTTCTGGCGCTGTAGCTCAAAGTGGAGTCACGAAAGTAAACCTGTGGATCCAAGTATTTTGGCAGCGCTTGTCTTGAATTAAGAATCGTACTCTCAAATTTGCTGTTTGGCGGTTTAAAATGACTCAGAGGTGTTTATCCCATGTTATCCCTTCACATTTGTGGCTTTAGAGCTTAGACAAGCCAATTATCGCCTTAGAATTTATCAGATACTTAGAATGTCCTACCTCGCACCAATTAATACGTAAAAATCCATCCAACTCCAATCTTCCACCGTTAATATATCGCCGTTCTAAGAGATGCTGCTAATTATCCCCCAACTTAGGGTGGTTCTCCCCGACGAAGGCCCAAAAGAGAGTTGGTTAATGACGCCAGAGGAGAAGAAGGAGGCGATTCCACAGCTACGACAAGCTGGTAACGAACTCTATGCCCAAGGCCAGTGGTTTGAGGCCGCGGCTAAGTACGAGGAGGCTCTTAATCTTATTGAACAGCTCTCGCTCTCTGAGAAGCCCGGTGATTCAGAGCACATGCGCCTGGACCAAATGCGTGTACCCTTCTATGTCAACATGGCTCAATGTCAGTTCAAACTAAAGGTAAGCAAATATTTGCTTCCTCAGTCATCCTACCTGGAGATAGTTAGTAGTAAAGCTGTTATCTCAACAACTCCCAGGACTACTACGGGACCGTTCAGAGCACAAGCGAAGCATTGTTGCGCGACAAGAACAACGTGAAGGCACTCTTCCGACGGGCTCAGGCCTACTCCGCCACTTCTGACGTCCATCTAGCCAAGATGGACTTTACACGAGTCAAAGAACTCGCGCCGGACACAATGACGAATTGTGTCGACCGGGAACTAGCCAACCTAGACCGAATAGACCGCGAGTGCAGGGAACAAGAGCGCCGACTCCTCGCAGGAAAAATGTTCAGCCAAACTTGAGCCTCGAAGATGGCTTGCACCAACCTTTCCCCCTCCTATAAGTTTCTGTATTCCGTCTAATTTTGTAAACGCAAAGGTGCGAATACATGCACACTCTCGAGCAGCCCTCTTCCTGATCGAGAAAGGACGCAGTGGATTACGCCCGACCGAGGCGAATCCGCACGTGAAACGAATAAATCCCACTGAGCTTATCTATCCTCCAAGTACAGAACATGAATTACTGTATGGAGGACGCAAGTACTCAGACACCAGATGTGAATAGAAAACGAGTAATAGGTTTGTATTTTATGTACAACGGTAACAACAACGAAGTTGCTTTTAGTCATCTTCGGCGCCCTCTGGGGGCCTGCGAGCGGCGCTGAAAGGGGACACAGTCCTTTTTGGTGGCTTATGCGAGATACGTTCGCTATGACGACGCTGATGCCGATCATGATGTTTTTTAGAATGAGAGCGAGATCTTGAGCGATCGCGGCGTCGCTTATCACCATGACCTGAGCGATGGTGACTCCCACTATGATGATGCCGATCCCTATGCTTGGAAGATCTAGCATAGAAAAGATGGTGTTAGTACGGAAGTGCTACTTATGTATCTCCATCATAAATAAAGAGCACCAACGTTAGTTACCTTCCAGTCACTGTCCGGCCTACTACGAACGCACTGTTGTTATAAAAACCCGAAATCTTGGGAAAGCTCTTGCAGAAATGTTTAACTAATTTCAAAATGGCAGGTTTGTTTAAATAATTTAGAGTACCTTCAATTAAGAGACGCCTCCCATTCTGGACCGACCGAATGGCCTAATGAGTAAAATCGTACTAGGGAAATACCTGATAAGTCGGTGCCGATATAATCATCCAGGAGCAATTCTGTTGTATTTTGGATGAAGAAGCATATAAATAGGACTTACCGACGCTCCCTGCTCCTGTCACGGCTACGACGGCGCTCACGTTGGCGAGAGGCCCTCGCCTCACGCTCCCTCTCTCTTTCTCTCAGCCGTTTTTCCCCGTACTCCCTTACGTAATCACGAATTTTCGCATAACCGAGATGCATTTTCCCAGCAAGATGTTCCTCCACTCGTTGGGGCGCATCGTCTTTTATTCGAAAGGCTCCACAAATCTCACAAACCTCCAACTCCTTAGACTATGATTAGTTAATGTCAAAAAGATTAAGTTACCTGGCCAGCTCCTGGCCGGGTATCGCCTTCGAGTTGAGACCTTTCGAATTTCAATTGTTCACAAAGCTTGAGCACGCCTTGGGCCTGATCAACATTGCCTTCTGTGCCCAATTGCTCTGCCTGCTCAACAAGATCATTGATTCGCCTAGTCAACGAGGCAATCTTATCGGCCTTTTCAGCTGCTGCCTCAGGGTCAGCTGGGGCAGCTCCCTTATTCACTGAGAGGCGCTCATGACCACGGCGAATACGTTTATCAACGTCTTCGAGAAGATAGCACAAATAACGATAAAACTCCTCTTCATAACCCATTTTTTCAAATCGGTTACTCTTCCTGTAATTCTCGCGAAGCCGCTCGTCGTGCATCTTATCGCACGGACCCAGATCCGTCTTCGTGTTTACAAACAAATCATGAGGACAAAACCCACACAAAAAATATCTACACATATCTTCATCCGACCAATGCGGACCTTTCATTGCGTCGCTATCTATGGCATCCCGGTTCTTCCCCAGTAATTCATCCAACAAAGCGGCTTGGGACGCCAAAGCCATCCCAACCTACAGAAGACAGAAACGAAAATGAAACATCGTGTGAAATCCAACATTGCACATTAAAACACACACAGGTTGCAAAACAAAACACGAACATTTTACATCAAAAGGGCGCTAGAATAACCTTAAATTCAAGATTAAATTAAATTATTGTTTATCCATGGGGAGTAACAGCGCTCACTTATATATCTGCATTTTTTGCCGCATGGATGCAAATGTGTAGACATAAATGGCCGCATTCATGAGCGCAAAAAATCAAGTTATCAATTCAAATGGTTTCTTTGACCATTTAACAAGAAAAGTGTGGTTGGTTTTACCTTATTTACTATTCCCAATGAAAATTTCCACTAAAAAGCAGTTGCTTATAGATATTTAATCATTCTAACATAATCAACATTCGACAAGTTAGCGGAAATAGGTTGCAGTTCTCTGTTGATTTATCTATCAACTTCATTATCGGAATTTTATCCAAGAATAATGGTTTCCACCAACATGAAGAAAGCTTAAAGTCATAGGGCATCAGTGCTACAGAGGCATTGCAGTCCCCAACAGCTACCTCCGATAAGTGTTACGGATTCCCAAATTCAATTTTCTTGATTAAAAGACGGAATCAAACCTTGAGCCAAATTATGCAAATAAGCGTGGTACAAAGAATTTACCCTTTAGAAGTATTAGGTGCCCATTTTAAAAACTGCAGAATTTGTCTCTTTACCAAAGTCA